ACACACACACACACACACACACACACACACACACACACACACACACTTAAATACGTTGAGCTAAACCTTTCTTATTGTGTGTTTTAGAGTTTGCCTACGGCGGACACCCGTACCCGTTCTCAGGGATCTTTGAGATCACACCCGGCGACGCCACCGAACTCGGCGAGACATTTAAGTTCAAGTGAGTGTGAGATGTTTGGTTGTTGGATTGAATCACATTCTTCTTCTCTGTTTTACAACAATGTCTTCCAGAGTACTGAGCTCAATAGTCTGAGACTTCAGAACAGGAAGGAGAGATAACCGCTTAACTTCAAATCTACAGTTCTACAGAGCGTGTAACGGTGTTCTCCGGTTACCTGAGTCACCTGCTGCATGAATAATAATGAGCGGTCTCCTCAGCGGGTCATGGACTACTGTGACGGTGCAGCTTGACTATTAATTATCACGTTTTAAACCTGCTAAATAAAGCCAATAGACTCCTTTCTCATTGCCAGGTGTCAAACCGTGAACATGTTAATGTGGTTACTTCTCTTTTAGACTGTTATCTGACTGGAGTCTGGTTTCTTTGAGGAGAGCATGTTAATTGGATGTTTTGCACGTTTATAAAGTATACTAATTGTCAGAAACCCTTGTTGGTTTTATATATTATACATTCACGTCAATGTGTAACTTAACATCGAGCTGGAAAAAGAACTAAAACGCTCGCGTCCAGCCGCGTGTCGTTTTACCAGTTACTCTATTCATCATTGTACTGGACTGCAGCATATCGTTTATGATCATGTTTTGATCCTGCATGTGAGTAAACCAGCGGTATGGATCCAGATTTCAGAAGGTCAAAGGTGTTGAGGTGAACTGGGGACATCAGAGGGCTTGTAAATGTGTGATATTTCATTCTTATTTTCTACAGTTCAGGTCTGTTGTGTTGGTCGGTTTCAATAGGTTATTTGAAATCAGCCCAGGCTCTCTGTGTTTGAGCTGCTGTGTATTACTTCTGCTCTAGTTGATCTGCCCTGTGGCTGTACACACCTACACACACACCTACACACACACACACACACACACACACACACACACACACACACACACTCCATGCAGGCCACTAGACCACAAGCATGGATCATCTGGAACAAATGTCTCCACGTCTTACTGAGGTGTCTCTTTGTCAAAAGCTCTGTAGGTCCACCACTTGGAATGATGCCCAGACTCTTTTTCTGTTAGTCCGATAGTTGCTGAGCTAGCAAAACGAATGACTAGAGTTGTTCCGATACCGACATTAGTTTTAGAAATGCCTCCGATACACCGTAAAATGCCGGATCGGCTATTGGTGAGTACGCAGGTCTATGCACCGATCTGTTATCACGTTAGCATATCATTTATCAGCTCATTTACGATGTCCAAAAAAACAATACTACCGTACCAAGTCGATGGTAACAAAATATGTAAGTACTTGTTTGTTGGGGCTAATGGCGTCCCGTCATCCCGGTAATGAAAGAACACTCCCCCGTTAATGCTACATTGTGCACAACAAATCTGTGTGAAATAAAGAGCGAGCTAGTTAGCTGTTAGCTGTTAGCAGCACAATTCAACAGATGTTGCATTGTGTAAAATCATGATGCATTCAAGCTTTATTCAGTAAAGATGAGTACAAACGGTAATAAAGGAGTATATGTTGAAGTACATGGGATTTATTGTTTTGTGTTTTTTAAGAGCTGCACATGCTCGGTACCGATCGGACATGGTGCTAGCGGAGCGTGTCACGTTAGCCAGAGCTAGCAAAATGTCATAAATTTGGCGGTATATTTTACGCTAGAAACTTTATCAAGCTAGATGATAAAAGACAGTTCTATGGCATTTATTCTCAGTTTTACAAAGAGCCATGAAACAATCATATCGCATCCGTACAGGGTTAGTAGTGTACAGATGTTAACGTGTATATTTTAATATCGATTAACGCCTGATCACTTTCCCCTCTCGTCTCTGTAGAGAAGCCATCGTCTTGGGCAGCACCGACTTCACAGAAGAAGACGTGGAGCGGATCGTGGAGGAGATGGGGAAGGAGTACAAAGGCAACGCCTACCACCTCATGCACAAGAACTGCAATCACTTCTCCTCGGCACTGTCGGAGGTAAGTACACACAGACACACACACACACTGTCCTGTTTGGACAAACGCAAAGCTGAGGTGCCACCTAGTGCTGAAACGCAACATTCATTTGTCTTTTAAGTAGAGCAGAAAGAGTGGTCCTCACTCCCCATGTGCATGTCTCTGGACCTCACCTTGGTGCATTGACAGGAGTGTGTGTATGTGTACGTGTACTTTCAATCAGCTTATCCTGGTGTGACTAATGAGCAGGGAGTCTTATAGTTAGCATCTAGCACTGAGATGGGGATTAAGACACTGATACAAGCCCAGACATGCAGCGCCAGCTGACACACACACACACACACACACACACTCTGACAGAAAACACACAGATGTAAAGACACAGAGTTAAATATGCAGACATTCACACATCCGTGGACACAAATAGATGCATCACATGGATAAGATGACACATTAAGTGAAACATAGACAGAATATGAAGTAACACTCAGCCGATACGCTGCTGCCCTCAGGACTTGATTCTCATGATGACGGTGACCTCATTGTTAAGGGAGGCAGAGGACGACATGATTGGACACGAGGCTGGTTGTTGCAGCTTCGGGAGATCGAGCGTAAAGATTAATTCTCCAGAGAGAGTCGACGCTTCAGCTCCGTGTCTCGTTACGTGTTCAGATTATCTGTCGTTCACTAATCGACCTCACATCACTCTGTGTGTTGGGCAAAGTCACCAAAACCCCAAAACTGCCTCGAAGTTCACCTCCAAAAACACCTGAAGGTGTCAAATGTGACAGAAAGTTCACACTACACGACACCACTAAAATACAACATTTACTGCACATTTAAATATCTTAACACTTGATCCATGTGGAGGATTATTGTTCATCCATGTCTCTTAACATAAAAAGAAAAAAGGCTCCACATGTTAGAAATATGAAACTATTCACATGTTCCAGCCTCTCCTCCTCTCTCCTCTCCCCTCCTCTCCCCTATCCTCTCCTATCCTCTCCTCTCCTCTCTCCTCTCCCCTCCTCTCCCCTATCCTCTCCTATCCTCTCCTCTCCTCTCTCCTCTCCCCTCCTCTCCCCTATCCTCTCCTATCCTCTCCTCTCCTCTCTCCTCTCCCCTCCTCTCCCCTATCCTCTCCTATCCTCTCCTCTCCTCTCTCCTCTCCCCTCCTCTCCCCTATCCTCTCCTATCCTCTCCTCTCCTCTCTCCTCTCCCCTCCTCTCCCCTATCCTCTCCTATCCTCTC